GCTTGAGGCTCTGTCTCAAAAAAAAAAAAAAAAAAAGAATACCCAGACTATCTCAAAATAAATAAATACAAGTTATACAAAAATATAGTGCATTTTTTGTGATGATTATTACTATTATCATTATCACTTATAATAATGGCTCTTACATAGTATTTTAAATACGTGGTTAATTTCAAGTTTAATTTTTCCTTAACAGTAAACCTGTGCACGTGTGTGTATGTACACACATCACCCAGGACACATATGGCATATGTTTGAAAAAGGGTTTAGGACAGTGTAACCATTTATTTGCACTGAAAGTGTACTTCTTGATCTTTACTTTCTCCTTTCACTTTGTATCTCCTGGTTGAGTAGTTGTCCAACACATTTATATAATTTTTTAATCAATTTACAGGTAAGTATTATGTAATGTACATTGTGAAATTCATTTTTCTGTACTATTAGAAATCAATAAAGATGGAATTTATGGAAATAAATGGACAAGGTTGACCCCTGGTCGCTTAAATATGAAACTAAGTGATTAGCCTTTGACAGAAATAAGGTAGTGGCTTTAATTCTACCTATTCTCCACTGGCCTTGAAAAGATTTATTTCATTTAGGTTTGGTAGATAAAAATCATCTTATTTCCTAATGAAGCTGAAAAGTTTATGTAAAAATGTTAAATATAAATTGCTACTTTACTATGTATTATCTAAAAATAAAGCCTGCATCTGTCTGTGTTACAGAGAATATGTATCCCACAAATGTGCCTTTGGAAATACTGATTAAATTGACTCTTCTTGATTAAAAAATAAAATAGTTTGCTTATTTGTAAAATGTAGATGATTCTAGTTCCCAAAACTATTTGTGAGCATGTGAGGACTTTGGAGTCAGGAGCATTCAAACTCTACTGTTTGCCCAACGTCACATAGTTAATAAGTTGCTTCACTTCCCTGAGCCTCAATTATTAAAAGGAGATGATAACTATACCTACTCAGAGGGTCGTAAAATGAGTTAATTTGAATAAATACTTAAAGCAATACCTAGTACTTGGTGACATCTTCATGTAAGTTTTCTACATATTTTTTTGCTGTGAAGTTAAAAAATGAAATTTCTGGGTGAAAATGGAGATAATAATTTGATGATTCAGATATTTTTCTAGGGTATCCCTTAAGTATCTTTTTAGGCTAAGAGGACCTTAAAGGCAAACTGTGTCACTGATAATCTCTCAGGTGCTGTGCTTTGTCCCCACCAGATGGTGCACATAGCTTTGAAACACTGTGGAGTGTTTTGTGTCTGTCTAATCTCTGGTTGCTTATTGTCTGCTGTTTTTAGTTTGGGCCTCCAAAAATGAATTTATTCCCTAACTAGCTAGATTTCAGTTTTCCGTCAGCTGGAATGTCTTCCCCTTTTTTTGTTTGTTTTCTATTTGAGTCTTGTAAAGATACCTTGAATGGCTGCCCTTCTTTTCTGATTAGAGACGTTGTAGGGCTTGCTGTGTTCTCTGATAGTCCTCCATAGGCTCTAGTATTATTAACCTTAAAAAGAAATCTTAGGTGGGCGCAGTGGCTCACGCCTATAATCCTAGTACTTGGGAGGCTGAGGCAGTGGATTGCCTGAGCTCATGGGTTCGTGACCAACCTGAGCCAGAACAGGGCCTTGTCTCAAAAAATTAGCCAGGCACCATGGAGGGCACCTATAGTCTCAGCTACTTGAGAGGCTGAGGCAAGAGAACTCTTCAGCCTAAGAGTTTGAGGTTGCTGTGAGCTGTGACACTATGGCACTCTACTGTGGGTGATAAAGTGAGACTCTGTTTGGAAAAAAAAAAGGCAGATTTTAAAACACAGGTTATAAGATTTCCTTCTCTTAACATTTTATAGAAGGAGTGGCGCCTGTGGCTCAAAGGAGTAGGGCAGTGGCCCCATATAATAGAGGTGGCTGATTTAAACCCAACCCCAGCCAAAAAAAAAAAAAAACTGCAAAAAAATACTTTATAGAAGAAATAACCAGCAAGAAATCTTTGTTGTACTGGCATGTTTTAAAAGGATTTTTAGTTAATTAAAAATAAACTTTGTAGCTTGGCGCCTGTGGCTCAAGTGGCTAAGGTGCTAAAGCCATATACACCTAAGGTGGCAGGTTCGAATCCAGCCCGAGCCCTCCAAAACAACAATGACGGCTGCAACCAAAAAATAGCCGAGCACTGTGGTGGGTGCCTGTGGTCCCAGCTACTTGGGAGGCTGAGGCAGGAGACTCACTTAAGCCCAGGAGTTGGAGGTTGCTGTGAGCTGTGATGCCACAGCACTCTACCCAGGGGGATAGCTTGAGGCTCTGTCTCAAAAGAAAAAAAAATAAGCAATTCTAAAGTTTTTGCTGGTTTTTGTTTTTTAATAACTAAAGAAACCTGAGGGCAGTGACTATGGCTCAAAAGTTGTAGGGCACCAGTCCCATATGCTGGAGGTGATGAGTTCAAACTCAGCCCTGGTTAAAAAAAAAAATGTGAATAATAACTGAAGAAACCATAAAAAAAGAAATTATATAGGAGAAAAAACATGATTTCTGGTCATACTCTTAACATGTTTAGCTTTTTATTTTTTTACCCAGGCTAGGGTGCAGTAACACAACCACAGGTTACTACAGTCTCAGACTCGTGAGTTTAAGCAATCCTCCCATTTCAGTCTCCTGAAGAGCTGGGATTATAGGTACAAGCCACTACATCCAGCTACAGAGCATTTAACTTAAGAGATCTAGGTTTTGGTTTCTTTCTATGCTGTAAGATTGTGCTAGGTAATCTGAAGTTCATATGGTTTAAAATTCAACAACTATGTAAACAGTTCTTTGAACTTTTCATTCAGTCCATTCATGGAAATATGCACACCTATGCCATTATTGGGTGGTTACTATTTGGGGCTTTAAGCACATGATGGTAATTGACCACTGTAACTTTGCCTATTGCCTTTCTGTTCTTCAGTTACCGAGCTGATACCCAGACATACCAGCCTTATAACAAAGACTGGATTAAAGAGAAGATCTACGTGCTCCTTCGTCGGCAGGCCCAACAGGCCGGGAAATAATTAAGTTGGAAACAACAGGGGGGTGGGGGTGGGCTTGGAACACAGGTGTGTACAGCGTGCTGTAGTGGAAGTTTTGTATTATAGTAATCCTGTTTCCATTTTGTTACACTCTAGCCAAGATTGAAGATATTAGATGAAATGTGAGGCTCTTATTCAATCTGAAACCCCCATTACCCCTACCTTTTTTCTTTTTCTGTTCTTTTTTTTTTTTTTTACTTAAACATTTTTATGATGATTTAGATGAAAGTTGTTCTTTGTCAGCTGATACTGCTTCCAGTCCTTCAGACTGTTCATACCTGCTTTATAACATTTCACTGTACTAACCTGTCTTCAGGATGGGGTGAGGGGTGGTTAACAGTTATGTCCTCGAGATAAAGTCTTAGTGAAAAATAAATGTTGTTTAGTTATATTTTCTCCCCGAGTGATTTTTCTTGTCTCCTAACATTGAATTTTCTTGCAAAGCATTATCGGTTTAAACCAGCAGGCTACACACAAAGAATGTGAAGAAAGTTGATGTTATGTATGTGCTGAACACATTTTGCTGTGATTGATGTAAAGCTAATATGCTTTTTCCTCACTTTTCCAGTGTTTGAGTGAATCTTAATTGTACCTCCTGTTTGTACCTGCTGTCGATGCAGACACTGTGAAAGGCTTTCTGGTGATGCAGCTTATCTGCGGCGGCAGCTGGGTTAGTTCCTTTGCTTTGTTGGAATACTCTTTCTGGGAGGTCCTTGTGCCCTTCTCAGAGCCTTCAGCAACTAAATATAGTTACCTACTATTGGTGGAAGCTACTTGTATAAGGGTGAGGGAAAGAGCACAACAAAGTACAAGATAAGCTTACTGTTAATGTAGAGAATGTGGCCGTGTTGTGATTTTAACATTGTATTGTACTTCCAGTCAGCAAATATATAACACTGCCTGATTCTGCTATCATCACTCTACCAGTGGCCAATAATATCTTTTTGTTTACCCAAAACAAAATTAGTATTTATATATGCTCAACAAGTTGAGTTAGTATTTATAGAATAATTCTATTAAATATCATCACTGAATCAAAGGATTATTAAAATTAAGATACCTGACAAAATATAGTTGTAGTTAATGTTTTACTGTTAATCAGCCAAATTTTAAAGCTAAAATAGTCTCATGGAAAAAGAAGTAGACCTCCAAATAAATCAGATTTTCCTGCTTTTTTCACTTGGCCTGTCCTACGAATGTAGTTTTATTTCTCAAACAAATATGATCTAGTCTTCAGTTTTTTTGAAGAATACTCTAAAACAGATCTGGAGGGAGTGGGATCTCTTGATTCTCAGATGCAGTACATACGTTTCTGGTGTTGGGCTTGCGTACAGAAGAAAATGAGATTTTTCTAAGGATTTTGAGAAAACATCTGGTTCCTAGATGTTGGGAGATAAGAGCAAAAAGGAGGGGAGTGATATTTTAATCCTCTGAATGTTTAAGGAAGATTAGAACTGGAATAAATACAGAGAAATACACATACTGAAGAAGAGCCAAAAGTACCCTTTTTTTAAAGGGATGTGTGTGATGAAGTTCAGTGGTTTAGAGTATTGATTACTTGTCTTTTTTCCAACCACAAGTAAAAAATCAGAAGCTTGATTTCCGCTTATTAAGTGATTTTTTTACACTACATAAAAGTACATGACAACCTATAAGACAAATTACAAAATTTCTGATTCTCTAATCCACCTTTTATATATCTCAGAATTTCTAAAATAATGTCTTTTTTTTAATTGTTTGGTATTAATTGAGGGTACAAAACAGTAGGTTACACTGATTGTGTTTGTTAAGTAAAGTCTCTCTTATAATTGTGTGAAATATTTCCTAATATTGGCTGCTTCTGTCCGTTAATACTTGATCTAAGAGGTTCCAGGATTATGAAAGGGAGATTTCACCTATCACTTCACTTCTAGTTCTCTGGCTTACAGTGTATTCCCAGCACTTCATTAAATGCCCAAACAAGTTACATATCTTACTCACATTCTTTGGGATAGAAGTGGTGTTGAACTGGTTTTACTTTCACCAAGGGAATGACTTAAGGAATAAGCAGTGTCCTAAAAGCAGACTAGTTAGGTTGGAGGAGAGAGGGCAGGATAGTTCTCTTAGTACCACATGCGACATCAGCCTTACATCAGGATGGCCCTCCTTTATCAAATTATTTTTACTAATTATTTGAAGGTTGGAATGAAAATCAGTATTAATATATGAACTTTTAAAGTATATTTGTAGGAATACTTTTAGCAGGAGAAATATTAATTTATATGTTAGCATAATAATGTACTACCACTTAGACATATAGCATCTTACTGCTAAGGAAACACTTACACATCTTAATTATAGCAACCCTTTGAGATAGGAAATAACTGTTTCTCTATTAATAGTGAAAAAATAGGCTTAGATTGCCTAAGTGATTAATTCAGATCACAAAGCAATAACCAGCAACTTTGCTAAGTGAAACAGATAAGGTTTTAACCTCAAAGATCTTGAAGGGAGGTGGAGAGCCCCACAACATCCTATCAAAGAGACCTTTATAGACTTAGTCAAATATTTGGATTCAGAAACCTGTAGAGGTCACATTTGACACTTTACTCAGAAGCATACAGGAAACAATAGCTTGCCAATCCAACATCAGGTGCTTCTCTTCACAGGAATAGTCTTCACAGCAGTTCACACTGCCATCCAGGAATTACCCCGCATGCACAGACAGGTACAAGAGACAAGACTTAAGTGCAAGAGCAACCCTGGCCTAGAAACTCGTGTACAACAGGAGCCACTATCTCTCATAATAACTTCAGAGACATAGTTTCTAGGTCTCTGCAAGAGATATGCTCCAGTTAAAAAGAATCATTGCATTCAGAGAAGCACAAGGCTTGTCTTCCAACCAGGTATTTGTAGTTTCTGCTAATCTGAATGTACTTTACCACTTAGAGGTAATTTTTACCATAAGCAGTCTTCTTTTTTTTTTTTTTGCAGTTTTTGGCTGGGGCTAGGTTTGAACCCGCCACCTCCAGCATATGGGGCCGGTGCCCTACTCCTTTGAGCTGCAGGCACCACCCCATAAGCAGTCTTGTGTAATAATTTATTGCACCATTATCTTTCCTTAGGAACAGAGCTCGAAAGTTAGTCCAAGACCAAATTTGTTCATAGAGCAGGAGGTTTGTTAATTATTTACAGATGCTTAAGCATGAGATGGCACCATCTGCCTGGCTTCATGGAGGTGGTATTTGAGTTGGGCTTGAAGGATGACTAAACTTTGAGAAAGCAGGACAATAAGACAAAGATGATAATAAAGAAGACCAGATGTGATAACTCACATCCGTAGTCCTAACACTCTGGAAGGCGGAGAGGGAGGATCACTTGAGGTCTGGAGTTTGAGATGAGCCTGAGCAAGAGTAAGATCTCATCCCTACTAAAAACAAAAAATTAGCCAGGTGTGGTGACAGGCAGCTGTGGTCTCAGTTACTTAAGAGGCTGAAACAGGATTGCTTGAGTAGAGCACAGAGTTTAAGGTTGCAATGAGCTATGATGATGCCACTGCACTCTGGCTGTGGTGACCAAGTGAAACGGTCTCAAAATAATATAATAATGATGAGATTATAAAGCACTGGGAATGTTTGAAACAAGTAAACCATGATGGCTGGAGTAAAGGAAATATTCAAGAGAGGATAAACACCAGGAAAACTAGGACTGGAGTGTCTTAAACATCAGGCTATGAAGGCTAAATTTACTTCCCTAGGCTGCAGGTAGCCTTTAAAAGTTTTTGAGGCATAACCTGTCAAATCTTTAGGTATTGGGAGCATTAGGTACACTGCTTTGTGTAGCTTGGGTTAGAAAACTAGAGAATAATATCTCAGAATCCAATTCAAGAGAATTTTCCAGTGAAAAGTTACAGAATTATTATGAGCCCTTCTTCATAAAAGGGCTTTGAAGTTGGAGTTGAGGGAGTATTTTCAGTAGTATATAAGAAAAATGCCAAATTTGCAGATAGAGAGTAAGGGACAGCAACATTTATTTTATATATATATATATATATATAGTAGGGCACGCCTGTGGTTCAGTGGGTACGGTGCCAGCCCCATATACCAAGGGTAGTGGGTTCAAACCCACCCCCAGCCAAACTGCAACCAAAAAATAGGTGGGCGTTGTGGTGGGCGCCTGTAGTCCCAGCTACTCTGGAGGCTGAGGCAAAGGAATCGCCTAAGCCCAGGAGCTAGAGGTTGCTGTGAGCTGTGATGCCACGGCATTCTACCGAGGGCAGTAAAGTGAGACACTGTCTCAAAAAAAATTTTTTTTAAGTAGTAAAATGGAATACAATAGGTTGGAGGATTTTGTTTGTTTGTCTCCTTGGGGGGAGTGGTTTTGAGACAGAAGTCTGGCTCTGTGCCCTAGGTAGAGTGTGGTGGCATCATTGTAGCTCACAGCAACCTCAAACTCCTGGCCTCAAGCGACCATCCTGCCTCAGCTGCCTGAGGAGCTAGGATGACAGGCTCACACCATAACACATAGCTAATTTTTCTGGAGACAGGATCTCACTCCAGCTCAAGCTGGTCTCGAACTCTTGAGTTCAAGCAGTCCAACTCCCTCAGCCTCCTTGAGTGCTAGTATTATAGACATGTGCCACCTTTCCCAACCTGATTTTTTGTTTAACTAGAGGCAATTTGTGTTTGTGTGTAAGTAGAGGCAAAGTTCACATTGAAAAAAGTACATAACTGCCCCCTCTGTATCCATCCATGGATTTCAAATTCAGGAATTCAGCACTGCAAATATGGAGGACCAGTTGTATTTTCCATGGATGGGTGGTGAAATACATAGATGCAGAACCCGTAGGTACACAAGGTGAAACTGACTGAGTTTCAGTTTGACTGTTACAACTAGATAATTGAGGGTGAAAGATTGCACAGCTAGTTGAAGAGAATATATGTTCAAGTATACTGATGGAATGATTAACCTCAGAAGAGAAAGTGAGATGAAGTTGAGAGGGTTTGTGTTAGATCCATTGAATGGATAAAATGTCTTAATCCATTACATGGATGAAATAAGTCACTCTCATGAAGAAACAGAAGAATACTAAGGCGCCAGCCATGTACACCTAAGGCGGCGGGTTCGAATCCCCAGCCCGGACCCGCCAAACAACAATGATGGCTGCAACCAAAAAATAGCCAGGCATTGTGGCGGG